ATGTTGGTGTTGTAGGCCCACGAGGCCAGAGAGTACTGGTACATACGCTGGGTGGCCTCCTTGTCGAACATCTTCAGGAACACCTTTGCCTTGTTCTCCAGATCTGACTGAGCAGAAACAGCGCAGGACACAGCCAGCAATGCTATGAGAACCCTAGCAGACATCTTGGCTGCTTCAGCTCCCTCCATCCGAACACACAAACAAACTAAGTATGAGAAGGAGCAACACTGTGCTCTGTTATACAGTTTCAATAACCTTCTGTGCTGCCTTGGCCTTTGGACAGCAGAGTTGTAACTGAGGGTGTAGCTGAGTTTTCATTAACAGACATCACTGGGCTGTCTTCACATAAGGGGGAGAGTCTGTGAAAGCTGTACAGTAGTAATTTGTATAACCAGAAAATAAAAAGGTCTCTGTCCGTTTCCTATAAGCCTGTCAACACGATAACACATTATTCAAAATGTTTTGGTATACAATTAAAAGCCTTTTGTTATGAGCAAGAAAGCAGGATGACCAATTTCTACATTACCATAAATAAAATAAACATTCATCACCTTACAGTACATTAAAAAAAACACCAAAAAACTTTAAATGATGAGCAAACTGCAGAAGGAATTGTCACCATTGACTGTGCATTTGGACTATAAGACAAGATGTCTTCTTTTAAATATCTTCTGAAAACTCATTTATATCAGTTGACTTTTTCTCAACTGATGGAATTTGTTGTAATTGTTTAATTATTTGATTTGGTTTTAACTCTTGGAATTGATTTACTTTGTATTGGTTGTTTTTGAAAGCTTCCATATCAATAAAGTGTATATTATCCCTATCATCAACATAATATAAGGTAGTGGAGGAAAAAGTGCACTTGGGTTCCTTGTTTTTCTACAGATTTTCTTATTGGAGTGTCTTTTCTTAAACGAACATGACCCTTTGAGGGGAACAGTCAAGGAAACAGGAAACAATAGCATTAGACGAGGATCCAAGCTTCATATCTGGTTAGCGGTGGATTTCCCAGCACCAGATAATATACAAGTCATGAACTGTTAGGCCCTAAACGCTGATAAGAAATCAGCCACAAGGGCAAGGTTTATTATTCGGATTTATTACCAACAGCAGAAGATAATTTAATACTCTTTCTCTACAACAAATCAAGCAATAACCTACTAAAACATCAATAAAATAAAGACATGAAAATAACTCTGGCCTTAGGTTACAATTTGTTTTTGTTAGCTTGACACTCATTAGTGCTGAGATTCAGGCTTGTTTTTGTACGTCATACATTTATTTATTTGTGCTGTTGAAGTGCCATTATGTTAATTGATCATGTTTCAACCAGAGCAGCAAATGCACTCAAAGGCTGTGCACCTGTTTAAAGTTCCAGGGAACACACATCTGATGCAACAGCGCCTTTCTGTGGACACAGTTGGTGCGATCATGTTGATTAAAAGACAGGTTCACATTGTTGTTCTGGCTGTCTTACTGTAAACAATACTTACATGACCATATGTAAAACTGTATTGGTTGCTGGAAGTGTTCTTCCTGTCTATATCAGCTGTGAAGCATTCTCTTCTTAATGTGGTTTCAATGTAAGTGACAAAATAACTAGCAACTGTAGCTGTCACATGCATGTAGTGCAGTAAAAAAGTAAAGTAAAATATGTAGTGAGCTGTAGTGGTGTAGAAGTAAGGTAGCATTAAATGGAAACAGTCACATAGTGTAGAAGTAACTTCAAAAAGTACAGAACTTGAGTAAACGCGGTGATAGTTTCAGATGCTTTTCCAAAAAAAAGTGGCAAAACTATGGTGTGAAAATACTCTGGTACAAGGAAAAGTCCTGCATTTAAAACAAAAGTACCATTGAGTCTACACAGGACAGCAGGAATGGACCATGGAAAAGTTAACATTTATATCTGCAATACAACTTTGAGCCACATGAGGGAGCCTGAACGCTCGTATTGTTCTGATAACTGGAGCCTACTTATAACATTGAATCTCATATGATAGGCTAGAGTACGTTTTGTTTGTTTTACTGATGAGAGCAAAAAAGTGACTGCCTAAATGCAATTAATTGGTCTCATTTATATAAGTATTTAGCATGTGGATATGTTTTCAATAACACATGCATAAAACCATGTTGTGACTCTTCAAACGTATATCTCTTCATAAAGCTGGTTTGCATGTTCGAGATAATATAAGTGATGTGGAAATAACAGTAAAAATGGTCAGGAACGTTCATTCATGCACAGTTTAGCTCTTCTCACGATTTGCAGATATGGCCTGATGTGAAATAGGAAGAGATGGATGGTCATTTTTAAAGAGGGGTTCCCCAGAACAAATATTTTTGTTATCACTCTTATTACTAAGTCTGATCACGCCAGAGGCTCTGAAAACATCCGAGCCTTTAGTGTGCAGTGTCCACATCTGTCAAATAAATGTAGCGGAGTAGAAGTGCCCCACTGCACCACTTATTGTGTCAGTTCACTTCTCTATGCAGATTTAAGATCTCTGTCATATCATGACACTGAGGATGTGAAATGTCAAATTCATAGGATTTAAAGCAATGATCACCACGCTTCACATTCAAAATAAAAGGAGATGAAGGGTGAAAATGTAAGTAAGTAAAGCTATTGTATATACTACCTTTTTTAACACATGTCACAAAGAGCTTTACAGTAACATGTGTAGAGAAAACATGAAATCCAAGCGGATACAGCCAGATATGTTCGAGTTAGGGACAAATATAAAGGCACGCACAATTTCACACTGTCCGTTTGAACAAGCAACAATACTGTTCATTCCACTCGGCTCGTTATGAATCATCACTGCATGGTTTACTGCTTGCTGGGACGCAAACATAGAACATTGTACTATTTGTTGTCACGCTTGTCTTCTCGGCAGCTCGGAGTGAAGTGCATGACAGGTCACTGTCAATCTATGCCGCCTCAGATTTGCTGCCACAGCAAGTTTACAGCAGACATGTCTATATATATATACAGACTGAGCCTCGAGGCTATAGGACAATTACTTTGAATGAAAAACACAACAGCCTGGCTTAGCAACCTGGAACTCAACTCAGCAAAAAAAAAAAAGAAATCTGTTCACTGGACATCGTTCAGCTTCAGTATACTGGAGGCTCCTCTCCTGCTGAACTTTTCTGAGTTCACAGTTTAAATTCTCAGTGTTTGAGCAGGGGGATGCAGAGAAGTGTGCACTGCATTATATTCTACCGGTTTATTCTGCAATATGTTGCATTTAAATATCGTTTAGTCCTGTATTGTTTTCTAATCATCTACTATACGCTAAGTCTAAAACTGGCCGGGAGTGAAGGAAACATTTTCAACACTTTGGGAATGAACTATTTTTGATCGTGTGCTTCCTAAATTGTTAATTGTTGTGACTTGTTTATCATGGTTGGATGGTTAACAGCACCACGCCACATTAAATCTGGTTATTTTTACCAGAGGTTTGGTCTATACCGATATCCAGCGGCTGATGGCACCAATCAAAGATAATCCACATTTTTCATGGCGACTGCATCTTCTTTAACAGAAATATTAACTACGAGCACATGACCACAACAGTACTCGAAAAAGATTGCAGCTGGAAAACAAAAGCTTTGGGCATGTGCATTGTTTCCCCAAACTCGAGATACTTGACTTGACACATGTCCCCAAATAGCCCCCCCCCCCTGAAGCCAAGCACAATTGAAGCACCATTTAAAAACTATTAGATCCAGCCACTGACCTTAACTTGTAGAATAATGATGAATAACAGCAGGAATTATTTTTTGAAATCATGCGTTAATGCAGAACTACTTTAATTTGTAAGTTTCTCTGTCACTGAAGCCAAACTGTGTTCTGCTGCCAGCAGGTGGAGCTTTCTCGTCGCCTCTACGACAAAGACAACATAATTTAGGACACAAAGTAATGAATGCAAGTTGCACTAAATACCATTTTCTTAATAAAATCTCTGGTAACGCGACAGACGCGTGCTATAATGTCTCTCTTTCCTCCATATTTAAAGCACTAGTCTGGGATATTCAAAGTGAAGTTATTATCAGTTTATAATATAAAAATATGGACCTAATGTAAATAGTTTTATACTATCAAAAGTGTTTTCAACCTGTCTTTATTATCATCAGTATTCTTCAGTGTCATTACTTCAAGCTACTTTCAGATGAATCTTGAGAAAGGGAAATAAATAAGCATAAAGAAGATATATCTGGCGTTAAATACTGACAAGTTCATTAGTAAAAGAGTTAAGAAACATTACGTTTCCAGATCAAACTGGCTTAGTTAACTCCTAAAATATAAGTTGAAATTTCCTCATTAACTACCTGAAATTCTTCTGTTAGAGTTGAGCGTTGCTGTCTGCTTATGAATTATATATAGATCAACCACTGTGCATTGCTCCATTAGTCCAGATGTTATCAGGTGCAAATGTTTGAGAGTGAAAACGAATAGAAATGAACATTTGTCTTAGTAGTTTTAGTCCTCTGCGTTAGCGGATCACCTACAGGGTCACATGGTTGAAGATGCTCCTCTGTCAGTGTGTCCTGACATGATGAGACACGTGTAGCTGTACTCTGGTTGTCCTGACCGCTCCCTGTCCAAACACATCCACATCTCCGGGTTTTACCTCAGTCTACTCTCTCATCCTCTCAGCCTGCGCACAGCTCAGGCCACAGACAGGCTCCATCATTACCCAGAAATATGAGCATACTAAAACCGGAAAAGCAAGGACGGACCTACAAAATAAAAGCTTATGGCTAGCAGTCTGAGTATGAAACAATATTAGTGTGTATAAAAACCGGCATTTGAAACCTATTCTGTATGCTGCTGATTTCTGTTTTGTCAACGCCTATGTTTTGTGTATTTCCTATGGCTTTCGCAAACCTCCGCTATCGGTGTTATTTTAAATTCTCCTCTACCCAGCCTCTTATTTTGAAGGTTTAAAGCGTTGCTTCCTTTTCGTTATGGCTGGCTTGACGCTGCAAGGAGGCGACCCATGATCGCAGACTCAACACGCATCCTCACACCACTGACCTGGGCTTAGCTGTGTCCTGCATGTGTGTGCATGTGTGTCCGTGTGTTGAGCGGGAGTGTGAGTGATCCCCACAAACCATCAGCAGGATGGAGGATCTCAAGGAGAATCTGGGAACTTTGGATTGACGCCCGGGGATAACGCGCGGTCGGCCCGAACCTCATCGGGTTTCTCGTGGATTTATATATTTGGATGTTGTCTGTTTCCCCCTTTCTCCTTTTTCGTCTAGGCAGTGGGAATTTACGCTTGGCTTACAACTCCTATTATTTCTGGCGTGCAAAATGCCGTTCGCCAAACGGATTGCGGAGCCGCAGCTTCTTTGCAGGCACCAGATCCCCAACGATGAAGGTCTGCTTTTCGAGGACCTGTGTGCCATCAGTAATGTGGTTCTGTCCCGGACCTTGCGACAGCTGTCCGACCTGGCCCGGCACGCCTGCTCCATATTTCAGGAGCTGGAGAACGACATCATTAGCACCAACCAGCGGGTCTGGGTCCTCCAGAACAAAATAGGCCAGATACAGCAGACTGCCTGTGCCCTAGACCCTAAAAAGGAGGCAGTGCGTAAGTAGACCACCATGTGCCCCCTCTAAAAAAAAGAAAAAAGAAAAAAAAGAAGAAAAAGAAACCATTTCATGATTTACACCTGAGCAATGTGTGATTTTTGTTTCATGTACATCCTACATGTGTGCCTTCATGCTTCGAAGGGCGCACGCCTCAAAATTATTTTTACCCAGCTGCACGCACGCCCGCCTCAGTCGCGGCCGCGCTCTCATACACCCCCCCTCATTGAAACGTGTCACACGGTTGCGTTTGCACATTTCACCATCCAGTATCATCTAGATGCATTTTCACAGCGCGGGACGTGTTGACTGCTCATTCATTTAGGCGGTCCAGACTCCGTGTGTGTGTGTGTGTGTGTGTGTGTGTCCGTTGACGACGGTGGGGATAGGGGGGGGGGGGTGTGTGTGTGTGTGTGTGTGTTCACAGGCGGGCAGCGCGGAGCGGAGGGGCGTGTGTTGCCGCTGCATTGGCTCAGTATCGCAGTCTCGTTACTGCGGGTAGCTCACACCTGAAGCATGTTCAAGCGGTGTTTTCTGGGGCCACAAAAAAAAAAAAAAAGACCGCCTCGTTAATTCAGGGTGTGAATACGTGAAACTCAGAGGCGAGGATCTGTTAAACGGTGTGTGTGTTGGGGTTTTCAGAGGCGACTCCCCGTGCGCCAAACCCACCCTTTCCACATGCAGCGGCACCAACACAGCATCAATAATGAATCCAGATGCCCATGTTGCAGAGTAAACATGAACTGATCATGACTAGAGGTTCAGGTGTCGACTGAGGACGGATCACTTAAAAAAAAACAAAAAAAACACCCCCCAAAAAACCAGCCTGATTGGCATCAATGGGAGACTGCAATTCAATGAAACAGCACGTTCTGTACAGCATATTATTTATGTCCTCTGCAGTGCTTTCAGTATAAGGCGTTTGATTTTAGACGACCCGTTCAGTGATTTTACTCCAATTCTGTGCAGTGGGATTCATCGCTGCTGTAGGTTATCATAATCTGGGACAACCAAAGAGCATTTTGGGGCCTAAAGCTACTGTAGGCTCATGAACTCTCTCTTTAGATTAACCCCCCAACCCCCAACCACACACACACACAGGAGCATAATGTGTCAGCGAGGATGTCTTTATTACATAGAGTAGTCTTATTGCTTGTTGTTTGCTGTGGATCTGGATGAATGAGGCTCTGGTATAGAGGACTTTACGTGCCGTCTCTTGGATTTAAATTGTGAGAGAAAGATTGTTGTCTAGCTGAAAGGGACAGACATTTCTACGCTGAAGTCAGTGTACAGAACAACACTCCCAAAAGTCTCGCAGCGGTGCACTCACATCTCACTATTCTTAACTCCTTAAACCTGCCAGCAAACCCAGAAAACATGTCTGTCGGTTACACTTGTGCTCAGAAAACCCTGACATATTGATTTGTCATGTGGACTGTGACATACAAGATAAGTATCACTTGGCGCAAGCTTTTCCAAGAGTTTTGTGAGTCTCAAATCCTAGAATGCCATCGTGCAGCTCATGCAATCATTTAAGAGCGAGCCCTTTGCTCCCAACCTGGAAGTCAGGACCCCTATGAGCTCAAGAGATAAATCTGGTGTGTTGCAATTAGAAAACGCAAAGTTCTGATACATACAATTTTATTATATTTGATAATTTTCTCAGAATTTCCTCAAATCTTTGCTTCCTCTCTCGTCTGTTTTACCACTTCAGGCCTCTAAATATGATTCAAATTCAACAATATGAGAGGTTAAAAATCATTGTTTACTTTGTGTGATTTTGGGTAGTCCCAGACAAAAGTTGACACCCCTGACAGAGAAATGTTTCAACTAAAAAGGCGGTCTTACCGTTAGACATTTAAAGCCTTGTTGACCAAAAACCAGACCCCAACACTTGGGCAGTGTCAGAAATTCAGAGTTTGCTGCTACGAGCCATGTCTACAAACCCACCAATCAGACGAAAGCTTAAAATGATGCAGATCACACTGGCGAGCTAGTGTAAGGCTAAACGGCTAAAAAAGAAATGACCACAAACTCCCTTTTAAAAACAGGAATTTTATGACACCATCTGAGTTTTTTATATATATATAGAGGTGCCGGCACCTTATGGTGTTTTTATTTTATTTTTTTTGTTCGTAACAGTACGATTCACCAAAACTCCATCACACAATCAGACATTTCTCAAAATTGACAGTCTGACACAGATCGTGACCAAGACTTTATCAGCTCCATCTCAGTGTGATGAACACAGTCTGTAGGCGCTTTTATTAACATGCTACCATTGTTTGGATGTGCTTTACAGCGATATCTAGTCCTCACACCATGCAGGATCTTCATTCATCCTTCATCTCTATTTCGGTCTTAGATATTTCATTCAACACACTGTCGAGTAAACTGGGAGAAACACTCTTCGGCTGTCTGTGTGGGACTTCAGCTTGGTTGCGGGGAGAGTTTGAGTCCTCTGTAGACCAATGCTCATACTTGGATGCCAACCAAAGTTTTGCTATTTTTATTCAGCTTTCAAAAGGGCTATTATCTTCCCTCTTACTCTCAAATGGCAGCAATAACCCCGAGGAGATGAATATCTCCGAGTGTACACACAGGCTGATATTGAATGTCAGTGGCAACAGAGTTTCCTCACTTCATAGAGTGGATCAAGATTTCAAGGCAGTCAATATGTTGCTAACTTGGATTGATCCTGATCATGGCACTAGGCAGTGCTCAGATGGTGTTGAGACGGTTTGTGTCCGTCAGTCATGCAAAACAATGTGTTGTGGTGGACATTCATCAAAACTCATTCAAACTGTTCTACTCGTCATCTGACAGCAGCAGTGACAACGGTAGGCCATCCATGTATCCAACTGTCAAAAAGTCAACAACTGTCAGCCTGTTTGATGATTTCTTTTAAATATTTCATGCACTTTCATTCCACTATGTCCGCCTTGAATGACACAAATGCTTATGTAAGTCCCAAACTATACTACAGCGGTGCAGAGAAAAATATAAAATAATCATCTATTTTAGGGTACCTGCAACAGTTTATTTTATTGGTAAACCAAACATAAAGTCGGATCCTGTATCACAAAACTAAATCAAATGAAATGTACGGATCTCTGTATAATTTTCCACAGCAGATGATTGTCTTCATTATTTGGCTTGTAGGATGTTGGAGGTTAGTGAGGAATGCCGGTTGTAGTTTGTTGTAGTTCGAGTCCATGGTGCTTTCTTTGGGTTTCCAAGATATTCATTTTGTTATTATAAAAGTCTTAGAAAACTAGCAAGTTTAAATTGGAGGGCTGAAGCCAAAGATCGAACGATTGGCATTTTTACTTTTATAGATGGCCATGAAAATAAATTGGCAGTCAAAATGGTTGCATTTTGGTTTTGTGTTGATCAACTGGTTGACTAAATGTTTCAACAACTTTCTTTAGGACTACATATTGCTGTGCCACCATTGCTTTTTCCCTTTACTTTATTTTGTTTTGCTACATGATGCTTGTGATGTCATGTACGGCTGAAAGGGAAACAAAACCACAGCAAAAACAAACAAATAAATAAAAAACAGAATCTAATCTAATCCCACACAAACCCGTTCAACTGAGACAACCATTAAAAGGTAGTTAGTTTGAGGCATTAACCATCCAAGTAGGTTTGAGAATAAAGACGTTTCGGGTTGGATTCAATGACTGAGGTCTCTCACACACCATGAGGATTCAAAAAGGTGTTTTCTGTTAAAAGTTGCACTTGACGACACTGAAGAGACCACACGGACAGACATCCGACCACCGGCATGCACACACACCAGTGCACTTTAAACATAAACAGCAGAGATATTAACAAAAACAAACCCTTTTTTACACAAACAGAGAATATGTCTAATATACATATATGGAGAAATACCGGTGGATCATGTATCATGTGAATTATAACTATATAATGGCTGAAGAGAAAGCAGTCAAACACACAATAACTTAATTTATGTGAGGACATACAGTAATGATGCATCAAAAACATGAGCGGGTACAACAAATAGTAGCAAACACGAGATAGTGAACATACATCGTCAATATTATACCTGCTTAACATCAGTAAATTGGTATAATCATTGTGAGCATGTTAGCATGCTGACGTTAGGATTCAGTTTTTAAATCACTGCTGTGTCTAAGTACAGCCTCATAGAGCCAGCATGGCTGTTTTTTTCTGTTTTTTCCTGTCTCCATTGTTTGTTCTCAGCTGAGCTAATGTTGTGTTCAAGTCATATTGTACAGATGGTAAGACCCACCCCTTAAATGTCAAAAAGAAGGACCGAAGTATCAACAAACCTGTAGCAAAATGACTGCAATCATCCAAATTATATCAATACTGACACAAGCACAGTCTATTCAGCTGTTTGTGGTTTCACTTGTTAATGAACCACAAAGAATATGCACAATACACACGACACACAGGATACAAATAGCAAGTTCAGGCATAATTTCCCTTATGCCTGGTTTGACTACAAGGCTAGCAATGGTGGTAACCAAAGTATTTACATAAAACTCTGTTAACACTCACCGCAGCGGGACAGGTTTGGGTTCAGCAGCAGAATCAGCTCATATCAACTCTCGTGGTGCAGAACACACACAAACACACACACTCGTACACGATGGGATTTTAACAAATATGTTGTGCTGCTCTGGCAACACAGGTTCCTTCTTGGTATGCCATTTAACGCAAATTTGACTTTGAAATTTCAGGGAGTATGGCCTGTGGCAGCAGGGAAAGTGGTTTATCTCGCTAGTCTGCACAGTAACAGGAGAGCGAGTGAGGCCTGGTTTAACCTTTCAGCCGAGTCAATCTCTCTCTCTAACATTTTTACTATTTCTTGTAGTACAACTAGCGTCAGTTCTGTAGCACGCATCATATTGCTGAAGCAGTTCGCTATGGACAGAAATGAGAAGAGAGATGGGGTAGAGAGAAAGAGAGAGAGAGAGAGCTAACAGCACAGTGTGTGAGCCTCGG